CCCCCCCCCCCCCAACCTTCAACCTCCTTCATGCCCTTCACACAGCCCATCGGCTCGGCCGCTTCTGAGCTGAGCACTTGTAAGGGGCAGATGTGATGCTTAGAATTTTCTGTCCAAAACCTGGTTTTGCCTTTGAGGAAGGAAGGGTATTCTGTCATCTCCGTCCTACGTGTGGGAAAACTGAGGTTTGGGCAGGAAAACGATTTGCCTGAAGACACCTTGCGGGTAAGTGGTGCATCCTGGGAGATGGGATCTGGGGCAGAGGTTGGCTTCTTCCCCCACGCTACTGCTCTGGTGTAAAGGCCAAGGAATGTGCCGGGAACCTTCTCACCCACCTCAGATGTGTTATCTCATTTAATCCTTATACGACTCCTGGGAGATGAGACGACCACTCCCCACTTTGCAGAGTGGGAAACCAAGGCCCAGAGAGGTGCCAGAGCCCAGGTTCAAGCCCAGGCAGGCTGGCGCGGAGTGCATATCCTTAACCACCCTTAACCACCGGGCTCGTGCTTCAATACGTGTAATTTCCTTTCAGGCAGCTGCGGCTGTGGCCACTCAGGGAGGAGGAGGAGGAGGGGCCCAAATGGCAGGCCTGGCTGAGAGCCCCCAGGCTGGCATCTGGGCTGGCAGGCTGAGCCCAGGCCTGCCCTGACCCCTTGCTGCCGGCCCCAGTTCCTTGGGGACCCTCCTGTGGCCTGAAGCATCTTCCACTCCTCTGCCCCCACCCCTATTTCTGCGGTTGGCCCAAATACCAGACAGGGCGAATCTTAGCTTTCCCCCAAGCATTCCATGCTCCTGTGGCCCGGCCCAGGCTGGCCGAGGTTACGCAAGCTGAGCATGGGTGGTTGGTGGGGGTGGGACCGAGGGGACGGGCTGGCCTGTCCTCGCCGCCGCCACCCCATCCGGCAGCCCTCCCACCCTCCCCAGGGCGGGGAAGGGGGTGGGCCGGCTAGTTCCCCACCCCCACCCCCCAGCCCCTGGGAGAACAAGCCGGGTGGAGGGTGGCCCGTGCCAAGAGATGGGGGGCGGTGGCGGCCACGGAAGAGGCTCCAGGAGGTGACCGCCTGGTTTCCATTAGGGAGCCCTGGTCGGCATTTCAGGCGAGACGGCAGAGCTGGGGCTGGCTATGGTAAGGTGGGGTGGGGGCGGGAGGGCAGGGGAGGGAGGGGAGCCTGCCTGCTCCCCC